TATATATGTTTAAATATATATATGCATATGTATATTGGCATTGATATTGATTTTGATATTACCTGAATCTCCACGTCACTCAGGCAACTACCGAAGTATTATACAATATACGTATAGTAAAGTTCTTCTCATGGGAAATCCCGTATGTGGACCGCATCCTCGCCAAACGTGCCGTGGAGATGGGTTTTGTAAGCAAAGAGCTCTTTCTCTCTGCTTGGACGGTATGTACATGTATGCTATATATATATATATATATATATATATGTATGTATGTATGTATGTATAAATATATATGTATGTATATATATGTATATATGTATGTGTGTATGTATGTATGTATGTAAGTATGTATGTATGTATCTATGTATCTATGCTTGTATGTAGGCATGTGTGTATGTATATACGTATATATGTATGTATGTAGGTATGTATGTATGGATATAGGTATATATATATATATATATATATATATACTTATACATATTATGTATATATATATATAAATACAAATATATATATATATATATATATACTTGTATCTACTTTAGTTTTTTTACACATCTGTCGCCTTTTTGTTTGGTTGAGTGGCCCCTGCTGTCCATGTACTCATTTTGCATGTTTGTACCGTATCTGTGCATATCTATTCAGTAACAGTTTGACAACAATATATTGTACAGATGTATCTACTGATTGATATGATCCTTTTATAAACTCTATTTTTTATACCCCCTATTTCTGTATTGTACCTACTGATGGATGTGTTCCTTACATACCCCCTATTGCTCTATTCTACAGATGTACCTACTGATGGTGTTTCCCATGTATGGTATGCTGGTGACCTTTGTGGTTCAACACCAGATCACACCGCTGAACTCCGCCGACACTTTTGCTGCACTGAGTTTTTTCAGTATATTAAAGGTATGTGCATATTTAATGTATCAAATGTATTAAATACATATTGAATGTATGGAATGTATTAAAAGAATAGTAAACATATCTGCATATTAAAAGTATTGTAAGTATTAAACGTATTAAAAGCACAATAAAAATATCTGCATATTAAAAAAAAATAGGTATTGAACGTATTATAAGCATATAAAACATATCTGCCTTTAATAAGTATTGTAGGTATTAAACGTATTAAAAGCATATTAAACATATCTGCATAATAAAAGCATAATAAAGGTATCTCCATATAATGTATTAAAAGTATTCAACGTATAAAATGTATTAAAAGTATATTAAAGCTACTACTCTACGCGTGAAAGGGACAACTTGGCTGCAACGGTTGTATTTTGTATATCATGGCAATATACCTACACGCACAAGCAAACATGGCTAAACTGTCTACTACAACAAATAACATCACTAAAATACCTACTACAACAACACATACCTTACTACACTCCATACCACACCCAATTTATGCAACACATACATTACTAATCTACGCACTATAACACAATGCTACTAAACTATATACCACAATCAACCTAAACAACACATACCTTACTACACTCCATACAACACATACATTACTAAACTACACACTACAACACATACATTACTAAACTACACACTACAACACAATACTACTAAAATGTGTACCACAACCAACCTAAACAACACATACCTTACTACACTCCATACCACACCCAATCCATACAACACATACATTACTAAATAACGCACTACAACACACACATTACTAAATAACGCACTACAACACAATACGACTGAACTATGTACCACAATCAACCTAAACAATACACGCCATTTGTTCTGACAAAATACCTGGCTTCGTCTCCTCAGTTTCCGTTGATGTATGTAGGGCAACTGCTATCCGCCAGTATACAAGCACTGATAGCTACCAAACGCATCGATACTTTCCTCAGCTCAACATCTAAGACTCCACTTGTATGTGCCGTTTATGTTGTCGTACATAAATGTACGTGTGTGTCTGGCACGATAACATACATGTATACACGTGTTATATGTATATATTATTATTATTATTATTATTATTATTATTATTATTATTATTATTATATTATATATATATATATATATATATATCTGTATATATGCATATTTATGTGTGTGTGTCTGTGTGTGCCTGTGTCTGTTTATATCTGTGTGTGTGTCTGTGTATGCTAGTGTATGTGTGTGTGAGAGTATATATATATACGTTTGTGTGAGTGAATGTATATGTATGTATATATATATATATATGTGTGTGTGTGTGTGTGTGTAGTAT